TCGGGCAACAGAAATTGACGACTTCCCAGACCTTGGGGAAGAGAAAGCATGATGAGGCCATTGAGACTTCGGATGGGGGAGTCGTGGCAGCTATCAAGGAAAAGGTCGTGGCAGCTATCAAGGAAAAGGTTAGGGGGACCGGGAAAAGGAAGGCAGTACGGTCCACGGGTCAGGGCGACCAAGGAACACCCGCATGGGTAAAACTTGGTTTAGAGTATGAGGTGTGGAGGGACCGAGTCGCTAGGGGCACTTGCATGAACTATGGCAATTATGGCCACATGTCCCGAACGTGCCGAGGCAAAAAGGTCCTGACGAGGGTAGCCTCACCAACGGTGATGGGACTATCTTCGAACTTTGGCGGTGCTTCTGCGAGCACTTCGTAGGGAAACACCTCGGGCCAGTAAGAGTTTTAGCCGCTCTTACTCGCGCTGAAGTGGTAACGTTGCCTTCCCCACTTCAGGCGTTGGCCAAGGCTAGTGACCCACGTATCGCCCCGCAGACACATTTAGACCCACCGACGCTCTGTTCGAGAGATGCGTCTGAGGCCCTAGAAGAGTTAGAGACTGAGTGGTCAGGGAAGGACCCCAGAGACTCTTGGGCGATGATTAGTAGAGGTCCAAAGGGTGAACACTTCGAAGTAGAGGCTGATGTAGGTGGTCGTAAAGTTGGCGCCTTCGCAGACATAGGCTCTATACGAAACTTCATCAGTCGTGCTTGTGTGGATAGACTGCGCTTAGAGGACCAAGTTCAGCGGCTTAGCAGAAATGTAGCTTCTACGCTGACCAACAAGCACCAAATGTTGGTAAAAGACTATGTCAAGGACGTAGTTTGTACCTTCTCCTATGGAGGAGGGGAAGTGAGCCATAAAATCTCCTTCCTGGTTAGCAACGAACTGCCCTTTGACATGCTCCTCGGTATGTACTACCTCGAGGTCGCGCAACCGCAGTTTGACTGGGATAGAAAGGTGTTGATTCACAAATTACACAATGGTAGATCTGTTAGATTGTAGAAGTTTAAAGCTAGCAGTCTGATAGAAAACTACGGGTGCATGTGTGCATCATCTTTTTATAACTATTATAAGCAGAATCGAGGAGGGCATGTATCTAGTATTTGTCTCTGAGAAAGGGGCGGCCATAAAAACACCCCCAGAGATAGAATCAGTTGTCGCTCAGTATTCTGACTTTTTTGAGGAGCCCACAAGCGTGGTAGAAAGGGAGGTTGCCCATGCAATAGAGTTTGTCCCAGGTAGTAAGGTGCCTAGAGGACGAATTTATAGGATGTCTCCTGCGGAGTTGGATGAGCTCCGCTGCCAGCTCAAGGAGCTCACATAGAAGGGATGGATTCGGCCTAGTACCTCCCCTTACGGTGCACCTGTTCTATTTGTCCCAAAGAAGGGAGGTACCCTGAGGATGTGCATTGATTACAGGGGTCTCAATGCCATCACTGTTAAAAACGCAGAGCCCCTACCCCGCATCGATGACCTATTGGATAAAGTGCAGTGATGCCGGTACTTCACTAAGATAAATCTAAAGTTCGGATACCAGCAAATTGCTACTAGACCTGAGGATCAACACAAAACCGCGTTTCAGACCAGGTACGGTCTGTACGAGTTTGTGGTGATGCCCCTCGGCCTATGCAATGCTCCTGGGACATTCCAGCACGCAATGAACATGATCTTTCATGATTACTTAGATAAGTTTATCGTTGTGTACCTCGACGATATCCTCATCTTTAGTAAGACTGTAGAGGAGCACGTTGAGCACTTGAAAATAGTGTTAGGTCTCCTAAGACAACACCAGTACAAGGTTAACTTGGAGAAATGCGAGTTGGGCCCACAGACGCCAGCCAATATGGCATAGGCGCGATCCTCGCGCAAAAGGAGGGGGAAAAGTTGAGACCGATCGAGTACATGAGTAAGAAGATGCGATCTCAAAAGCTAGCAAAGTCCACGTACGAGCGTGAGCTCTATGCACTATATAGAGCACATGTTCATTGGAGACATTATCTCCTAGGCAGATTCTTCTATGTGAGATTTGACCATGAGACCTTGCGCTGGATCAAGACACAGCTTGTGCTCTCTGATGCACTCAAGCAATGGATACGAGTGATAGATATGTATGACTATCAACTTGATCCCATCAAGGGAGAGTACAACAAAGTGGATGATGCATTATCTCGTCGGGCAGATGGGCGCGTTAGTTACTGAATTTGGCATATCTAACGATCTAACTCGATCATTGGTGGAAGCCTATCAGCAAGATCGACTTATGTCTGAAATCATCCGTAGATTCCAAGCAAAGGACAAAAAGACTTTGGATGAATTTACGATGATAGACGGTTTATTGTTTCTTGAGAATGCAGGGAATAAAAGGTTGTGTGGTCTTGATAGTGAGTCTTTACGTAGTTTATTTTTAGGAGAATGTCATGATGCAACTGGTCATTTTGGCTATGGAAAGACATCAGCGAACTTAGTACAAAGATTTTGGTGGCCCTCTATGATTCAAGATGCTAAGAGATAAGTTGAGACCTGCCAGGTTTGCCAAAGGGACAAACCTAGGACTCAGGCTCCGCTTGGGTTGATTAAGCCCTTGCCGATCCCTGAAGGACCGGGTCAGAGTGTGTCCATGGACTTCATGGATACTCTTGTGACCAGCAGGACTGGGAAAAGACACATCTTTGTTATAGTGAATCGCTTTTCTAAGTATGCCAGACTAATCGCTAAGCCAGAAAATGCTAAAACTTACTACGTCATCCAACTCTTTATGGACGAGAAGTTACCTCTCGTCGCCAGACTGTATAACAATGTTGTGCACAGTACTACTGGTATGATTCCTAACCAACTGCACCTTGGTTGGAAACCCAAAACTGCACTTGACTTTCTGCTACCAGAAAGAGAACCCGCTACAGCACCTGGCAGCATAGGGTTTGCTGTCAAATATGATCAGATGCTGCAACAAGCCGTTATACACATCAGGAAATCTCACGATGCAATGATCGCATCTGAAAATAAGCACAGACGACCCTCTAACTTTCAGGTAGGTGATAGAGTCTGGGTTAAGTCATCTGAACTAGGTCAGGAGTTAGGCATTTCACGTAAACTAATGCCACAGTACTTTGGGCCCTGGGAGATCTTAGACATTGTAGGGGATCAACCGGATGGGCCTTCATACGTGATTCGCATCCCTCCACACTTGCGCACTTACGATATTTTCCGTGCATCCAAGCTGGCACCTTTGGCTGCCACTGATCAGTTTCCCTCAAGGAGATCAATCCTGCTCCCATCCATGGATGGCGAAGTGGACATTGACCAGATCGTGGAGCATCACGGGATGCCAGTACCTCGACCATCAGGCGGAGGCCGCCCTCCTAAACCAAGAATGCAGTATCGTGTGAGATTCATACATCATTTGGATCCTAAAGAAGATCGCTGGTTCACACGAGAGGAACTCATGAGAACAGCACCTCAAGTGATTGCAGGCTACGAAAGAGAACTAAAAGGGAAGATGCCTGCAGAGTAACAGACTTCTCAGAGGACTAACGAAGTAAAGGAGGAGGGAATGCAAGGATCTGGGTCCTCGGCGGGCCTAAGGGGCCCTGGTTGCAGTGGTGCCCGCCCTAAGTGAAGCCGGGCCTAACATATCACAAGAGGCCTTTGGCTGTCAATTTCATATTTGGGGTACAGGCAGTTGCGACGCGCCAGTTGGTTGAGAGAAACACAGGCCGAGCAACCAAGACATTTCCACGGCCTTCTGGGCCTCTCCGAAACATGCAGGCCCTGGGCGAGAAACGAAGCCTCGTACACTGACAGTTGGGAGGCCCAACAGAAAGCGGCCCAGTAGCTGCAAAATAGCACGCAGCATCCTGGGGCCTACCGGAAGCTGGCCCAGGCCCAACCCAGCCAGGCTGCGAAGCAGACAGGCTCTTTCCATAAAGGAAAGAGCTCGCCACTCTCAGCCTCATTCAGGCACTCGCATGCTAGCGGCAGYGCTGCKGGAGCAAAGGCTYGTGGGCTGCTGCTGGCGCTGAGAGGCGAGGTGCAGCAYGTGCGGTCGTGCAGGGAAGAAGGGCGCTGCTGAGGGCAGCGCCATAGCCCAGCCACCATAGCTGGTGGGCTTGGACTACAGTGAGGCGCATGAGTGGTCTTTGGGTGTAAGGGAGGAAGACGTGGGTGTAAAGTCAGGGAAGGGTGAAGGATGATGATGATGATGATGTGAGGGCACATACCTTGTATTGGCGATGGTCTGCATTGGGCGACATCTTCATGTACTTTGGGTTGCCGCTGATGTCAACAGTTGCATTGTCAATTAGTAGGCTGATAATAGCTGTGCAGGAGTAGGCTGGGCGCTGAGCGCCAAGTAGGAGAGTGAAGGGACTGGACTCTTGTGTTCGTGTGGAGAGAGAAAGCTCTCCGTGACATTGGTTTTCAGTACTGCGAATCTCCATTGGTGTATTATTGGTGCAATGCTGCTCTCTGGACACGGTGTGACTATCTGGCTTTCAATGTGATTGTGTAATCTGGATTTGTCATCTCGCTGTTGCTCATTTTCCTTGCACTGTTGGTTTTGGGAAATAATGCCAATCAACAAGTGTGCTGTTGGAGTTTCTGGTAAATCAATGTATGGGTGGCGGAGTTAAGCTGTAAATTAGATTGGCTGTCGTAGGAGGGAGGGCTGAATTGCAAAGCAAAATATTCGTTTGAGCTGTAATTGCGTTCTTATTTGTTTGATTTATTTCGCCTCAACATGGGAATTAAAGCAGGCAGGAGGTAGTGAGGACCCTCTCAGTGCTCCCTGCTCATCTCCTCTTGCCAGGTGCATATCAGAAGTCTGACTGAGGGGTCATTTTTTTTGAACCTTTGCCATAATGGCATTGGAGTGAAACTGCTTATGTTGCGCTGCAAGTGTTGTTGCTTCTGGTTTGGATGACATCTTTTGAATTCTTTTCTTCTTTTTTTTCTGTGGAAACTTTTGGATTGGTTTACGCGTTTTGGGCTTGTGCAGGATACAGCAGATGCTGTGCGGTTGGCCAATGAGATAGGGTTTCCTATTATGATTAAGGTTAGTGGCAACTGCAGGTACAACCATACCCCCAGTAGTGTACTGAGACTGTGAGGAGCATTAGCTTTCTTTCCTTTCTTTCCTTCTTGGCTTGAACATGTAATCACTTGTGATGTTACTTTCAAAGGTGGTTGGCAGCTGGAGGTACGGCCGTAACCCGTACATGTCATGGGAGGATCTGTATGGAGCAATATAGAGCCTCTCCCAGCTGGTCACAACTCGTGTTTTCCATCATTGCCTTTGTCCTCTGAATTTTGCCTCTGTGTGAATTTTGCCTCTGTGTGAATTTTGCCTTTGTAATGACTTGCCGAAACACAGACTGAGAACACTGCTGATTTCTGGGTTTTGCCACTGGAATGTATGCCTTGCTGAGATTCCCGCATTCTGCTGTGTTTTCTAAGTCTGTGTGTGTGCGTGTCTGCTGGTCTGAGTGCTTGTTGGCCTGAGTGTGTGTGTAACCGGCAAGGGTACTTGTTCGTTTGGAGACCCCGCAGGGCCGGTACTTACCTGTGGCCGTGACTTTGAGGGTTGCACAGGGAAAAACACTCAAGTAGCAGGGGTAGGCCCGCGACACTTAGAACAGTGGGGAAAAACACTCAAGTAGCAGGTAGGCCGGTTCCACTCAAGTAGTAGTAGATGTGTCGGGTACTCGAGGCCAAGCAGAAGAAGACAAAAAGTTGGCATTTTTAGAAGCCCAGTAGCTGTAGGCTAGAGGTAGGCGGGTAGCAGTCCAAGTAGCCTGAGTCTAGGGCCTGTACGGACGATATCAGAGCCTGCAATGATGTTTCCCTCCAAAAGGGAGGAGGTACTGGTTGCTTGGAGGCCGTGTGGCCTGGAAGTCTCTCCAGGAGGAGTGAGTAGCTCGTCATTTGCGGTGTGCAAGGTTGGGCGACTTACTGCTTGAGCGGGTGCTGGACTCAGAGAGCGCTGCCTGGGAGGACGAAGAGGAGCTGGGCGCTCAGCCTGGCTATGGTGAGCAGCCCAGCTTGAGGAGGAGGAAGAAGGGGGCGAAGGAGGAGAGGAGCAAAGTACCTACCTGGCTATGGTGCACACCATCTCCATCACCTTGTTAGGCGCTGCATCTGGAATGCCCCAGTTGGGGTAGTACTGCACCAAGGAAGCTTCGAGGTAGAGTCAGGCATGGCGGCCTGAAGAGCAGCAACCATAGCTGCTTTGAGTTGCCTTTTGCACAGGAGGGCAGAGCCCTTAGTAGTCTGCGATGGCCTTGGTATGTGAGAGGAAGGTTAAGGGGGAAGCCATGACTATGGTGGACCTATTGTTGCGCTGGCAGTGAGAGGGAACTTTGGATATGACTCGGGTCAACCACTTATTATTATCATTTGGAAGAAGAATAAGATTGGCGAAGACAAGGAGGAGGAGGAAGGTGGAGAGACAAGGGGGATTTGTCATTGGTCTTGCTGGTGTACATCTTCTTCTTCTTCTTCTTCTTCTTCTTCTTTTCTTCTTCTTTCTCTCTTCTGCTTTGGTCTATATCTTGCAAGTGCTTTCGTTTCTTCCGCAGTTGGGTGGCATTGTCTTTCCTTGTGAATTTGCGCTTCGGAGATGGCCAGGATTGTAACACCTTGCTTACTGCTGCAGTTGCAATGAATTGCAGTTTCCCAGTGGGGCTGTACAGTAACTAGTTCGGATTCGGTAGTTTTCTTCGTTTTGAGCCCCATCGGGTTTGATCCCTTGACCTGTCCCTTACCGGGACTCCACTCTGTCCTGGTAGCTTTAGGTCCCTTTTGTCCTCTTCTGCTGCTTTCTGAGTAAGCCCATAGGTTTTTCTTCTCGGTCTGCCCTAGGCTGAGGTCGAGTGTAGAAATAGGTTAGCAGCGAGGTGGTTCCGGTCTTTTTGTTGCTTTTTCTTTTCACGGTTTTGGTGGAGGTTGCATTGCTTCCCTGCTGTGCTATTGTGGGCATGTTCGCAGGGCATCTTCTCCGCATGCCGCTGGCGGCCATAGCTGGGGCGGGCCAGCTCCATCGGTGACAGCACTGGGCTCGGCGCTGAAGTGCTGATGAGCGCTTCCTCATACTGGTGTGCTGTTGGGATTATGTCAGCTGCCACGAAGCAGCTCTTTGAAGTCTTCTTCGATGTGGCAGGTCTTCATCTTCATCTAGTTGGTGGTCTCCTCCTTCATCCTGGGAGCTGCGCTCCCCTGCTGAGTGGATGCATCATCTGCAACTGGGCTTCGTGAGTGGTGCATCGTGACGGGTTGGATTCAGGAGGGTGTGTGGCGTTTGCAGGCTTGTCTGGTTGGGCGCTGAAAGTGGAAGTGGCGCCATAGCTCGAGCTCAGGGATAGTGGGAGGAAGAAGCAAACCCCCAGATGGAACTCTGTAAATAATTGGTCTGTGGGTGTTGATAACGTGGTTGGAATTTTTTGGGAAAATTCGTGTTGCTGATTGAATTGGGGAGAGACGGTGATTAGAATTGAATTTTTTTTTTTTTTTTTTTTTTTT